GCTGTCTTCATGACTCTTGCATGTGTATGTGTTTATATGAATTTCGGGCTAAGGTCCGATGGCGGGCGGGGGCCCGATGACTATTAGTATGCTATGTATTTATATTGCATGTATATGAGTTTATTTGTATATGTTATATGCATACTGGGCGGGGCCCAAACTATTACCGAGCTCAACTCAATGACCGAGTGGGCCCGATGCTAAATGGGGTCCGAAGTCGGGCGGGGCCCGCTATATGTTTATTGTATGTATGGTAGGTGGTATTTTATAAAACTCTTTTAGATTTTTGCTTACGGTTTTCAGTTTATGTTTCAAGTGATTCACTTTTCAGAAAATGGAAGAGCTTGGGTTGATTGTTGGGCACACACCGCATGTTTCTGCATTCTGTGATTTACTCTAAATTAATGATGTTTTGCTAAATCTTGACTACCTTGGTTTTATGAAAATGATATGTATTAACGATTTATTAATTTAAAAATGAAATTTTATGTCATTATTTTTAGGGCGTTACAGTTTTAGTGTCTTAATGCTTAAAGGTGAAAGCTTTAAGGTGGTTTGGTCCCCATTCTTGAGTTAAGACATAGGAAGGGGTCTGAGAGATTTGATCTTCATCTTTGGACTTCATGTAGCCATACAAGGGCTTAAAGTTGGCAACTTTATAGCCTTAGAGGTCTTAATGGGTCCAAATCAGAGTTTTGGACTTAAAATCTTAATGCATTAAGTTATTGCATGGAATGGTGCGTAACTAGCGCATACGCCGTGCGTACACCCATGTACATCGTGCGTACTGCCTCCGACTGAGGTAAGTTATGTGTACCGATGTGTACGCTTAGCATACGGATCAGGCAATCTTGTTTAACATTGGGCTTAAATCTATGGGTGTTATATAGGTTTTGGGTTATTAGTTTTGGGCTAGGACTTGTTGGTGTTTGGGCCTGAATTTATCTTTGGGCCAATGTTGGTATGTTGGGCTTATTGGGCCTTGTGGCCTAATATAGGATTGGACCTTGTTCTATTTAGGACATTGATGTCATGATTGGGCCTCATTGGGCCATGTAGCCCATTATAGTTTGAACTTTGATCTTAGGCCCATTAATGTTGGATAGACATTTGGGCTTTAATGCAGGGCCTTAAACTGACATGTTGGGCCTTTTGGGCCTTGAGGCCCGATATCGAATTGGATTTTAATGTTAGGCCCATTAGCTAAGGAAAGACCTTTGGGCCATTATGAAGGGTCTTGGACTTAGGATCTTAGGCCCATGTCTTGATTGTGCCATAACTCTAACTAGGGCTATTTGTATATTGTTTAGTGTGAGTTATTGGGCTAATAGTCAAGTAACTTTCATATTCAGCAGACTAAGGTGAGTCTCCTCACCATACCAATGGGTCGAAGGCACCAAGGCCGACCCATTACTTGTTATGAATTCTTAATAGTTGCATGTGCAATGAATGTATTACTTGATGTGTTATGTGGTTATGTAAAAACCATGGGGGAGCCCATGGCAATTGGTTAAGACTATGGGGGAGCCCATGACCCACGAGTATAAGACCATGGGGGTAGCCCATGGCATCCCGGATGAAGACCATGGAGGGAGTCCATGGCAATCCTATATGAATGTTACATGACATTATGTGTTTATGTATGTTTGGGGAACTCACTAAGCATTAACTTACAGTTTGTTGGTTGTTTCAGGTACTTTGTATCTAAGGGCAAGGGCCCGACTTGATGGTGCAGCGTGCACTCTCCAGTATTCCGCACTAGTTGTTTTGGATACTTTGATCTTTTGAACAATGTATTATGTAATGGAATTTTTGGAATGAATATGGATGTTATTACTAATTATTAAATGAAAATTTTTACCTAATTTTTTTAGCCTTGTTTGAGGGATTCGAGCACACTCTCGGGTGTGTAAGAACTCAAATCGAGGAAATGTTAAACTTTCTTTTTCAAAAGAAACAAAAATTTAAGTTTTCTTGAAAATGGTTTTTGTAAAAAGGGGAAAGTGCAATGTCCATAATCAGTCGAGCTCAAGTAAGTGTTCCCAATGTATTAGCCATGCTATAGTTATATTTGGAAATTGATGTTGAATGGATTATTTGCTAAGTCTAAGCTTTCAAAGTTGTACATGTTTAGGATTGCATAGCCCTAGAATGATGGAATTTGCCTTATTCCTGTTACTTGTTTGGTTGTGGTTTAGGGTAGAAGCTTTATTTGACAGTCTATGTGGTTCTATTTGTGTATAACTTGCATGCACAAGGCAACCTGATATGATTAACTTAAGTTTCTGGTTCGGTGAGGATTGAGAAATCCTAGAATAGTCTAGGATTTGAGTGTATTATGTATTACGTGGTCATGACATTTTATTTTTGTGATCTAGAGGTATTATGTTAGACTTTGGGGAAGGTATAGGTAGGTGTGGAAGGTAATATTAGGCTCGTAATACTTAAAGCACAGGACTTGTACCCGAAACAAGGACAGACCAGGAAACCCTAAGGAGTCCGGTAAGGGGGAATCCCCTTGAACTTCCTTATCAATAATATGTTGTGTGTTATCTTCAGTTGAGGATGGTGATGATCACGCGAGGTTTGGGTTCAGGATTAGGATCAGGATCAGGTTTAGGCTTTGGTGCAGAGCCCATTGATGAGAGGGTACGTAATCTCATCGCGGTTGAGGTTACTCGTGGAATTAATTGATGCTACCTCGATGATCTTCGATATCGTCAAGGAGGGCATCACGGAGATCATGGAGGAGCGGTTCAGGTCTTTTCGAGCCGATATTGCTGCAGGCCAGATTGTGGCTCGAGCTCCCTCATTCCGGTAGTTCAAGGCGTGTGGTGCGCCTGAGTTCTTTGGGGTCAGGGACCCCATTACTAGTCGACGTTGGGTGGCAGACATGGATAATGCCCAGTGCACGAGCTTTTGCACCGAGGCGGCAAATGTGGGGTTCACATCTTGCATGTTGAGGGACCGAGCACGAGACTAGTGGGAGGAGGTTGCCCGCGAGGTGGGATCAGTGGGTGTGGCTGAGATGACTTGGAAGAGGTTGTGAGGAGGTTTGATCAGGAGTTTGCATTGGCCATTGAGGTGCAACGTTTGGTGAGAGGGTTCTGATAGGATTTGAGCACTACATCATTCCTATGGTGTACATGCAAACCCTAAAGCTTTGGATCTTGTTTGTCTAATGAACATGCAATAATCATCCAAAGCCATAAACCCTAGATCTAGCATACAATAATGATTTTAACATATGAATTAGGTTTTATATCTTACCTTGATTGTTATGTAGGAATGACAATCTCAATTCCTCCTTGTAATTGGCTTCTGAAAGCTTAGTGTCACAAATGTCACACCTCTAATGGCTCACACACACCAAGAGCAAGAGGATGAAGAAGGAGAAGAGGAGAGGCACTCAAAAACGTATAGAAACCCTAAGGAAACTCTCACTACTAGAAAAAAGCCTTTTACGACGCTCATTGCGCGTCGTAAAACGCTCAGACGACGCGCAAATGCGCGTCAAGGAAGACCCTGTCATAAAGAGAGACGACGCGCATTTACGACGTGCGGTTATGACACGCAATGCGTATTAAGGAAGGCCCTGTCATAAAGAAAAATGACACGCATTTGCGTGTCGTAACCTTACGACGCGCGTGTTTATGACACGCAATGCGTATCAAGGAAGCCCCTGTCAAGAAAGGCCATGCAATAAATGAAGACGACACACATTTTTGCGTATCGTAATTTTAAATTTTTTTTTAAGAAAAATTATTTATAGATTTACTGATTTTCAAATTAAATTTGCATTTCATGTCTCATAATAGAAAATAAAATATCATATATAAAAAATACCATACATTGCACAAAAGTTAATGTCATACAAATAGTTGTTGCATGGAAAGACAAAATAAATCAATAGACGTAAAAAAAAATTACAAACTAATAGTTCTAATAACCTAATGTGTGCCTCACTGTAAACAAGATATGTGCTGATTTTTTTAAATGTGTGTCTGACTTGTCTCCACTCTTCCTTAATAATACCACTCAAGGACTCTAAATCTATGAAGTTAGTCACAATATCTATATTGCTTGCAAAAAACATAACTACAAAATAAGTGCTGTCTAGGATCAACAATGTTGCCAAACTAGTAAGCATAATAAAAGTATAAATATATAATACAACAAAAAGTTGAGTAATTTTACAAAACAATCCTTCAAGTTGTTATAAAGAATAATGACTTTACCATACCAGTAACATCTATTGTTGAAGATGCAACAGGAAGCATTGGATTTGGATAGTCTATGTGTAAGACATTGATCAAGGCCCAATGTTGCCATTGATCAAGGTGGATAGTGTAAGCACAGTTACTAATTTTCTTTGAATTACCTATAAACATGTAGAAACATAATATTTAAATAAATAATGACATTTTATCTACAAATGACAAAATATGACCCTCAATAATAGCATAAATGGTTCATTTTCCTATAAAAATATATATCATACGTTGGCATCATGTTATTTGAGTATTTCCCCAATTAGTAAGCTACCAAATTAACTAAAAAATAAACAGAAGAAATTTCATTTGTTTTGTTTGAAGGTTATTCACATGACCTTTATTAACTTCTAGTCTAAACTTCAAAACTATCAAAAACGGCAAGTTAGTTTCTATTATAACTTTCTAACCCTGGTTCAAAAGACAAAACAAGATTAAAGATAGGGGCTCAAGCGTCATTCAAGGTCAGCATACCTAGAAGTGTTTTTCCTTCTAGATGCTCCAAGCTGGCACCGACACCTATCCAGATGTGGCTCATCTTGTCATTCCCTGTCCACTAAGTTCCACTAGTTTCTTCATAATAGCCTAGGGCAAGAAAACTCATATGAGAAGGGAATATTTCCAATAAGTTGATTCATTGACAGATCAATGTAATCTTTTATCATATGAAATTCTTTTTTTATTGAGTATAAGAATCAAAAACAATACCCTGTATAATATCAAGTGTTCTTAGATTGTTGTGATATCATCAGAAAAAGTCATGGGTTGTATGGATCCATTAAGATTGATACTGCTCAGGATTGTTGTGATATCACCAGAAAAAGTCATGGGCTGTTTCTCTTCTGTTGTTAACCCACAGGAGTTCTGGAAAAAGTTGGTCAGGCTAATAACATCCTGCATCATAATAAAATAGAACACTATGATAACTTGATAAGGACAAAGATGTCTGATATGTAATAAAGATACATGCATGAATCAACATGAAAAGCTACCTGATCACGAAAACCAGTGAACTTGTACTTCAACCCATCTTTGATTCTAACAGCAAGCTGATTAGTCCGTGGAACTTTCACCCATGTAAGACCAGAAATATCAGATTTATCAACTTCAACAGCCTTACCACCTCCTTGTTTCTTCCATAATATTGTAACGACCCGTTCCCGGTATGTTGTTTTATTGGTAATTATAGTGAGTTTTCTAGAGGGACTCGGCGAGTTCTAGCCTGACTCGCCGAGTCGGGTCGCGTCTGGGGGCACGCGTGAGCCGGGAACTCGACGAGTCCATACCCCCCGACTCGGCGAGTCCATCTGTCTGGGTGAAACCCTAAAATCCCCGGGTTGCCCACTATTTATACCACCTTATAGCCCCCATTCTCGCCTCCCTCACCCTGTGAACGCAATGATAGAGCCCCAAACCTCCATTGAAGAGCTTATATGTGTTTTGGTGCCATTTTGTGAAGGTGTGAAGAAGGAGAAGAAGGAAGAAGCAAGGAGAAGGGTTGTGGTGCAAAGATCCAAGGCCAAATCAGAGTTTATTGAGGTATTTTTAGAGTTCCATCTCATAGTATGCTTTAAACTTCCATTAGGGCTCTCCTAAGAGCTAGTTGGTGCTTGTTTCAAGCCTTACACTTGCATGAACGTCTTATTAAGTCGATATATCTATGGATCTGAATGTTGGGGTGTTGTAGAGCCCAGATCTACTGTCTTTTTGGAGTTATATTGCATGATAACCATAGATCTACCCATTTTATGCATCTTTTAGCCTTATTTCCCTTATTCATGAGGTTGTGCACGTAAAGTTGGAAACTTTACGTGGTAAAACAACTTATTGGACTCAGATCTATCAACTGTATGCATTGGATTCAAACAAAACCAAGTAAAAATCAGTTGCATGGCGGCGACTCGGCGAGTCGGAAGAACGACTCGACGAGTCGGGTCGCGAGTCTCGAGTCCTTCAGTTTTATCAGTGTCGAGTGGTCGAGGTGAGTCAGGAAGTGGACTCAGCGAGCTGAGAGTAGACTCAGTGATGGAGGGACTCGACGAGTTTGTTCATACAACTCGGCGAGTCCAAGGCAATCTTCTTGGAATCAAAAACGACTCGTCGAGTCTGTTCATGCGACTCGGCGAGTCGGATGAAGATTGTCTGAGTTCTTGGATCAAGAGGGTACTCGTCGAGTCGATGCCAGACTCGACGAGTAGCGGTGAGTAAGAGTGAAAAGTAAGAGTGGGACTCGGCGAGTCAGCGCAAAAGATAATTGACTTTGACCGAGGGTAAAAGAGTCATTTTACCCCAAGCGCAGTGTTTAGTATTTGATTGAGTGTGTTTATGGACTTGTAGCCGAGGAGATTCAGGAGCAGCCGCCGTTAGCTTCCCGAGCCACACACTCAGCAGCCAGCTTACGAGGTGAGTTTCCTTCCAGTAGGAACGGGTCTAAGGCCACAATGCCGGCCCGTTCAGTTAGCAGTAGTTTCCGGATTTAGGTCCGATGCAGTAGTTGGTATGTTCGATGCCTTCGTGGTTCGAACAGGATTGTGTGCTATGTTTTATGTGTTAAGTACTATGTGTTCCGGGCCACGGCCCGATGTAGCATGTCGTATATGTGTTATGCTAGTTGATGTGTTATGCTATGCCATGTTCAGTCAGACAGTTCCGGACTTCGGTCCGATGCAGGGACAAGGTCCCAGTCAGTTCCGGACTTCGGTCCGATGCAGGGGACAAGGTCCCAGTCAGTTCCGGACTTCGGTCCGATGCAGTTAGTTCCGGACTTCGGTCCGATGCAGGGGACAAGGTCCCAGTCAGTTCCGGACTTCGGTCCGATGCAGTTTCCGGGCTTCGGACCGATGCAGTGGGCAAGGCCCAATATGTGTTTATATGTTATTGTATGGTATGTGGTAGTTTGGGGGAGCTCACTAAGCTTCGTGCTTACAGTTTCAGTTTTGGTTTCAGGTACTTCCGCAAGCAAAGGGAAGAGCTCGGGGTGACAGCATCGCACACACCGCAGCATAGCTTTTATCCTGGGGATGTCTCTTGATGTTTTGGATTAATGTAGTATGATACAGTTTTCCGCACAATATTTTATTATGTTTTGGGGATACACCGCGTGTGTTTATGTTATGATACTTATATTATGGTTTTGATTATATGGAAAAACGAAAATTTTTGGGTCGTGTTTTTGGGTCGTTTCAAATATACCACCTGGATGAACTTTAAGTTGACCTGGATTCTGGATTGTTCAGGAAGCATGTTAGAAAGTTGTAGGGAGATGGAGTAAAGGAATGAGAAGATTAGATTGGAAAATAAATTACCAGTTTCAATATGAATTGGTTATAAACATTTCAGTTTTCATAACATGGTATGTATCAATTTGCAAAGATTAGTTACAATCTGAACAACATTAAAAGATAGATGAGAGGAAAAAACATAAGAAGGCTTCAACTGAAAACTTATCTCCATCAAAGAATCTTTCTGCATCAAATTAAAAAGAAAAAAAAAGATAGTTAAAAATCAAAACTGTCATATACCATGAGGAAGAAATTTGAAAGTAATTAACAAAGAGGAACCTCATTTACACCAGTTGTGTCATCCACATGGAATTCCAATATGACATCATTCTTTCCTTGTAGCTGTGTTTGGGAGACATCAGCTAAGGAGACTTCAAATATTTGCCTTGAACCAACAAGAAAAGACAGCATATTGCCTAAAAAGTTTCAGAAAGGAAGATACTAGTATGAATAACATGTTAACTAGTTTCATTTACATCTCAATATTACTAAATGTGTGTTGCTCCACAATATACTAATTTGGAGATTTTACAAAACAAGATAAGGATAAAGGTCTCAACCATTTAAATCAACTTCTCCCCAGTTTTTCCCACTAATCGAAAGTTGTTTCTCTTCTGTTGTTAACCCACAGGAGTTCTGGATAAAGTTGGTCAGGCTAATAACATCCTGTAATATAATAAAATAGAACACTATGATAAGGAAAAAGATGTTTGATATGTAATAAAGATACATGCATGAATCACCATGAAAAGCTACCTGATCACGAAAACCAATGAACTTGTACTTCAAACCATCTTTGATTCTAATAGCAAGCTGATTAGTCCATGGAACTTTCATCCATGTAAGACCAGAAATATCAGATTTATCAACTTCAACAGCCATAGGGTTGTCTTCAACATCCTCCACTGTTGTGTTCAACATCCTACCCAATAAAAGTGAATCCAACTTCTGTAGAGTTCTTCCCAGCCATATCTGTAATGTACGTTTGTGATGACTGTATCAGTATAGATGATGTACACGTATATGTCCAACTGGCAAAGTAATATAGGATAATGATGAATGTATATGAAGGGTATCTTAGTAATCTTACCTCCACACCACGACTCATCTCTTGTATAGCTGATAGCATTGATAAGCTATCCAGAAGTTGGAGGTACTCAGACAAGACCTGGAATGTCTGTACATAAAAAGATTGTATATTTATTATTTACAATGCTATAATAAAAAGAAATTCTAATATATATATATATATATATATATATATATATATATATATATATATATATATATATATATATATATATATAAGGGGAGCTGATAATTCCACATCTTTTTATACATCCATGGATTTTTAAAGTAAATTGACAGTTATGCCCTTCATCATCTATCTTTAGAATGCAATTAATTTATTCAAAGGATGCATACGCTTCATTTTTGATAAACCATTACACCAAATGAACTCATTCCTCATCTCACAGTGCTAGAGATCCCCTTGAACCACAATCTCCAACAGAATCCTATCACCTGTGACCATCATTTTCACCTAAATATGCTCTTTTCCTAATGCATTTCTAGTAATAGGCTATACCATTCCAATTCCACATTTTAGATGGTTTGTACAAAAAAGGAAGATAGTTATTTAGGTGGAAGAGTGAGAGACGAAGAAGGCAATATAAATGAGAGGCGAAATAGTCAATATGGTTTAAAATTCGTGGATTAAAAAAAAGAGTCGTGGCAATATCACCTCACATATAAAAGATGTTGTAAACTGAAAGAAAAATGGAAGTGAATCTAAAAAGCAGCAGGCATCAGTCTCTTCAACAAAACTCATCTCTGTTGAAAATAAAAAAATGAGCACATTACCAAATAATCCTTCGATTGACTCCAATTTGGAGTCAAATCGATATCCATTCAGCTTGATAATACCAATTTCAATTTCAATTTCATGTACTCTATTGTTTACTAATCCAGATCCAGTTATGATGATGACATGTTAAAAGCCATGTCTTTAAGGGATTGAAGAAACGAGCATCATACCAAAATCTACAAACAAAACTAATAAAAGATAGAGATTGTAACACACCTCGAGAAGTGAACAATTGACCGTCTGATTGAATTCATCGAATCTTCCTTGTCGTTCTCAGATGAAGTGTATTAGGTCAAAAGCTTGAATTCCAATCGTCGCCATAGTCGTCGGCATTGGGCGGTGAATCGCCATAGGATAGCCATGTCAGGATTTGGGTTGATGGGTCGTTGGACAAGAAGGTAATAGCCACGCTCTGCGTAGGGTCAAGGAGCAGAACGACGATAAGAGGGAGTACTGATGATATTTACCTGCGTAGGGTTAAGGAGAAGAACGACGAGAATAAATGGCATGTATGATGATACGATGAGCACAGAGACCACGATGGAGGCGTAAGAGCCTAAGACGACGACGGTGAGCAGAGCGATGAGATAGAGGCGGGACTATGGAAGGAAGGATGTGAAAGCATAAAAGGTTTACAGAGAGAATTAAAGTGAAGTCTGGATTCTGGTGGGTTTGCTAAAATTTAAGGGCCGGATTGAGTGAATTAAAGTGAAGTCTGGATTCAGATTTTAAGGTTCAATGGTGGTGGAGGTGGAGGTGGCGATTAGGGTTTACAGAGAGAAGGAAGGAGTGAATGAAGGGTTATATTGATGAGAGAGGGTAGAAGCGGGATTCTTCAAAATTTTAGAATTTCACGATTTCGTTTTCCCCCTTTAAAAACGCGCGTTTAAGCAAAAATATAAAGCGACATTTGAAGAGGTCACAAGTTTAAGATAAGCGCCCTCCGTGTTTGTATTTTTTTTCTTTTCTAACACTTATTTCAGGGCACGCACAAATGCGTGTCCACTATCCTTAAATTTTTTGAAGAGATGATACTTTTTAATGTCACTCTCTAATGTGTAACATAAATCAAAGAGCGTCGTGTTTTGCGCGTCGTAAAAGGCTGTTTTTCTAGTAGTGTCTTAGCCATGTTTTTGGTTCCCTAGGGGTCCTTAATTAGTAAGGCTGTTAGGGTTATCTAACAAGGAAACCCTAATTTGATTGCTTAGGCCATAAGCAGCCCATGGACTCCCTCCTTAGAGGCCTTGGATGATTTCTAATGGGTTTCCCCATAAAACTCCTCCATTCCTCTAATATGGAGTCCATTAGCTCAATATTCAACTATCACACAATTGATAGTTCTAGTCCCCTAAGTTTAATTAATCTCTTTTAGCCACAAAATTAATTCTTAATTAATTATTGACTAATATTAATTAAACAATATGATTTCTCCTTTAATATATTATTCTCATAATATATTAATAAATCATAATTAATCCTCTCTCTCTCTCTCCATAATTCATCCTATCAAGTTGCTTTGGTGAAGGCAACCCAAAAGGAACATGCACCATCGGGTCAAGTACATACAAAAATAGTTATGGACTTAGACACTAATCCAACAGTCTCTCACTTGGATAAGTCTAATAACTATTTTGCGTATGACTTCAGATCCTGATCCGCAATCGTAGCTTTCAAAAGCCGCTGTCAACTCTGATCTTATTAAAATCGTGTCCTTTAGATAAGGGATCATATATTCCTCCATTCTAGATATCGTATAGACGTGAGACATGGACTTAAATCATTCTCTCAGTCTATGTGTTGTTTCCCGATTTCCGATTTATGACAACTAACAACAGACTACAATTGAACACATCAACTTAGTCTTGGCTCTGCCAAGCACTTTAGGTGTCGTCACTAAATCATCAAGGGGCCCACAGATATTGCTATTATCCCACTTTGGGTAAAAGGAACGGATAAAATTCAATTCAATGCTTGCTTGTATTCACTCACTGAATCACACACACCAATACCATTTATAACACCAAGTTACTGGTGCGTTTACATATTATCAATGTGCAACCGATTTGCAAGATACAACTCACACATCTCAGTTTTAAGAATATAAGATATTATCGTCTCACCAATCACTCATGATAAAATCTATGAAGCGATCCAAGTGAGTGTGGGTTTAATCTAATACTCTAATCTTATAGCAGCACTCATGAACCCTGCAACAAACATTTGCTATGTCTAAAACACTTTAGACAATCAACAGTCAGATTCATGTCAGTATTCTTTCATCCCTACTTCGAAAGAATGAGCGACTATGGAGGGTTTGAATAATCTTATTATTTAGGAAGTCAAAAACATGCAAAGTGAAACACAAGAATAATACTAATCCTATATGGCCTCAAACCTTTGAGTATAAATAAAACATTTTATTTAATAACCATATTGATTACTCATCATTTGTTGTTGCGGGTAATCAACTTCTTACTTGAATTCTAACAACAATTGTCCCATGCTCTTAGCATGCACACTGTGTTTTCCTATGGTCCTTACTTTGTGAAATAGATCAAATGAACACAATTCCAATAATGCTCATTTCACAATTCCTAATCCATTAGTGTAAGAATATACTTTGCATTCATGGTTTGGGCCTGTCCAATCGTATTTGTTATTCTAGGGTTTAGTATATAAGTTGAATGCATGCAATCTTATCATTAACGCTTTTACCATTCTCATTTATTGTTCTGTAAACCCTAGCGCACCTCTACAGAGGAAGTTCTTAATCAAGCTCTTCTGAGGTGTGACCATATTTTAATCATTCGACATACGGATTGAATCATTGATTATTCTTTTGTTTACTGTTCTTATTTATTTACATGTTAAAGATCTAATCGACCTAAAGAGTGTTTAATTCTTCAATTGGTATTAGAGCAGGAGACTAAGTAATCTATACGCATCTCTTCTATCAATATTGATGTCTGTTAGAAGCCGTCATTCTGTTGTTGACGTAGTTCTTGGATTTCAATTTTACCCTAACTTTGTTTACAAGTCTTATCTTGAACAGGTTTTTCGCAAAATCATCATGTCAAACGACGATTCCAACACAAACCATATCAATATCTCGAACAGCATTGGATCTACAACTAGAATTCCTATTCTATATACTCAAGATTACAAAGTATGGACGCATCACTTTGAAGACTATGTGATCGGTTCTGAAGACAATGGGTGTTTGATTTGGGAAGCGATCATTGTAGGTCCGTTCACTCACTCTGGCACAAAATGAGTCATAAAGAATCAAAAGGAGTACAACCAACTTATGGTTGATGTTAAAGACGTTCCTTAAGATGAAAAGGATAATTTTGTATGAAATATAAAAGCGCTTAGAATGATTAGATTTGCCCTACAGTCTGACACCTTTCGGTTGGTTAGCTCATGCACGATAGCGAAAGAGGTTTGGGACAGATTGAAAGAATTGTATTCTACTGATGAGGATCTTGAGCATTCGATCCAGACTCTATTGATTTCAGAGTTTGGAGACTTCAAGTAGAAACCTAAAGAGAAGCTTATCCAAGCATTTGATTTCTTTAATCATCTTCTTAGCAAAATGATAAAGCATGGCATAGAGAGGAAAGTTATTGAGCAGAAGGTCACATTCATGAATGGCCTAAGATCTGAATGGATGGATGTAGTGTCTACTATAAAGGCCCATGAACAATTCAAGACTTACTCTTTGGCAAAGCTAGTGGGGATACTAAAGTCACATGAAGGTATAGTGACTAAAGAAACGAACGTGGTTTCAAGCATGGGTTCTTTGGCACTACTTTCCAAAGGAAACAATGCAATGGAAGAAGAAGAAGATTTAGATCTCTCTAAATTTGATCTGACCAATGAAGAATATGCTTTGATGGTTTCAAACCCAAAGAAGTTCATTCGGAGAAAGTTTCCCACAAACAAGAACCGAAATTGTCAAGGAAACTACAATTCAGAAAAGGCAAAGGAGGAACCAAAGATCACTCCCCAACAAGAAGAACCGAAGAAGGAAAGCAAGATGTCAAGTGACTCAGGATTTAATTGTCACTTCCGTGGAGGCAAAAACCACTTTGCAAAGGACTGTATGTTGAGGAAGATGTCAGAAAAGAATGAAAGTGAAGACGGTGAAGCATACTACCTACAAAAGCTATAAGAGATTAAGAAGAAGAAAGTTGTTTCAAATAACACTATGAATGCTCTTATTATGCAAGAAAATGTTGCAGATGACGAATTTGGTGGTGTTGAAGTTTGGTCTACTAATTCAGAGGATGAATAAGTGAGAAAGCCTACACATGGCAGGGTTTTCGTGGCGAAATAAGATGAGTATGCGGTTGACGGAAAGTTTTTAATGGTGACAGATGCAGTGTCACAGATGAGGGTGATGGGGGTTAAGACGAAGCGAAGGAATGAGAAGATAGGTGCTTCGCTGCCAAGCCTGTTGGTGAGTAGATCAATGAGTGCGACCAGTTGATCAAGAAGGTACAATCTATTCTAGAATCATTAAAAATCCATGTCACAAATTATGAAAAAGAATTGAATGGATTAAAAACTAAATTTTCTAGTTTAAGTGGCGATTTAACCCAAAATCACCTCACAAAATCTAACCTAATTGATCAACTCAGCAGGGTGTCTTTGAAGAGTGTGGAGAGGCGAATGTGGATTGAGCAAAAGGAGAAAGAGTTAATTAGAATTAAGGATGAGACAATTTATTTGCAAAGGGATAATTTGAAGCTTTTAAAACAGAAAAATGTTTTTTGTTTAATTGCTAAACGTGTATATTCCAATATCACTTAGTCGCATCTAGACTGTGAAATAGGCAGGAAAATTCACAGTATGAATCTTCCCTTCCTTGAATTAAAGTAGGATAAAATTGATACTGACGTTTATGATTGTGAAGTTGTTGTCTCGTCTGATGAAGTTTCTCCTAGCTATAAAATTAGACTTGACAAAATTGAATCCTTTATCCAGTCCAAAGACCACAAGGACATGCTTAAGAATTTATTGGATGAAAATGATAAATTGA